TAATTGTTTCAAATAACATATAGTTTTAAGATACAGAAGATGTTTTACTTATTCAGATTAGTCTAATATTTTTAAAAATATTCAGGTTTGAACGAAATGTCTCAGCTATCCCTCGTCTTTTACGAGTTTCATTTAGGCTTTAAAAGTTTCCTCCATTTTGAAAAAATTAAGTGTTATAATAAGAATAGAGTTATAAAATTTGTTCAAAATATAGTAATAAAAACTAGATTATAAATTGCCAAAAAATTATATTAGATCAAAAGATATTTACAAGAAAATGATTTAAACCTAGTTAAGGAAATTATAAAATTTTGATTCATTCAAATTAAGATTGGTAAAGGTTATATTACGGTTCAATAAATTAAAGTTAAATTTTATAACTTAAAATTAATTTTTACAAAAAATGCCCAAATTGTTTTGGCTTTTTAGAAATTGTTTATTTTTGGGTGCCCCCTTATAGAGAAATATAGTGTCTTTGCCACAAATTTTAGGACTACAACACTGGCCAAGATATTACAAAAGGTGAATTTCCATCTGATTACCGTTTATTTTACAATGTATGGTCATTAAATCACCGTTATGTTTTGGAATTTCTATCGTTTCTCGCTATTTGCCCATTAAGCTAACATCTCTCTCTTTTTCAAATCGTATTTGTGATCTTGCATGCTTTCTCAATGATTTTAGAAACGGGAGAGATTTTAATACATTATATAAATTAATTAAATGCTTTAATTTCTAATTATTTATACTTTCACAAAATTTAGAAATTATTTATGGTTAAAAATTTAGTGTTTATAATTATTATTTCATTATTTCAATTAACTTGAGACACGGTATGCATTTATATAATTTTAATTTTAATGAAACTTTTTTTTCGTAAGTAACCAAATTATCTGTTAGATTTCTAATTACCCTGATTTAACCTTTGTAGTTCTAATGCCATTGTTTAAAACACTAGAAACAAACTGGTTAATTATGAAACAAAATATAATTATAAATACTAAAAATAAAAACACAAGAATTAACCGGGAAAGATCAAAATAAATGAACTTATGATCATTGTCTTATAAATGACCAGAATCAAACAGTTTAATTATGAATATAAAAAATAATTAAAAATGTTGAAAACAAATTGATTATTAAAAATATTATGTTAAATTTTAAACAAAATTCCGCTTAGCAAATATAATTAATCTGCTAATTGGCCCTTTTTAACAAATATTAGTTATCCAATTATAAAATTTTTTTTTAACAACTGACTAGTTAGCATAGGTCATAAATTTTTCTAACAACTGTCTCACCGAAATCGTAATTTTTTAAATCCAGTTTGAAAATTGATAAATTTTAAAACCGGCTTGATAAAGCCGTTGCAAGCAAGCCCCAGCTCAGCCCTGGCTACGTTTAACATTAAATTATTTTAAAAAATTTAATTTGTTTTAAAAAACTTCACCTCTCTTTATTCTACTCCTACACCAATAAAACTTTGAGTGGTAACGGTAGTAACTTTTGTTAATATTATTTTTGTATTACTCTATTTTAGGTTGTCAAAAACCTTGAATTATCGAGTTTTTAAAAAATATCTAAATCAAATTTTTAGCCAAATCGAGATACTTTTTATGTAGAATGGCCCTTCAATCCTATTTTTACTTTTATATAAAATACATATTTTAAATAGAATATTTTTTAAAGAAAGTTTTAAAGAATTAGATTATTTAAAATAAAAAATATATATCTCCATCATATTTGTCATATACCAGAATTAATATTAATTCTTCGCTCATACTTTTGATTTTTAATCAAGATAAAATTTTACTTGTAGCTGATATACACATGCTTTTTAAATATTGAATAGATAAAATAAATTATTCTTGGGTGAATACCTAATGAAATTAAAAATGCAGATCTAAAAGAAATTACAACTATTGAAAGAACAGAGGAAGAAAATCCGAGAAATATTATTGCAGCAATGATTGATCCATAGATTCAAGCTTAACTGGCCCTATATTAAAAGTCAAGATTATTACTCATTTGAAAAACTAACTTGATATACCATATCAAAACTCAAACCCCAATGATATATAGATGATTTGGGGGAAATATTTATGGCAAAAGGCTAATTCACTTAATATCCTTTTTAAATAAAATGATAAATTAGTTAATATTTTTCATAATTCTGTAAATTATAAAGCACTTTTATAAAATATAATACATGCATTATATTCAACCGGTTCTGCTTAGTCCTTTTTTAGCCCTAAACACATTCCTAATTAATGATGTTGGTGTTTAAATGACATTAATTTAGATTTTATTATAATTAAAGACTAATTTAGATTATATTTTATTATTTAAAATAGAATTATTGTATATAATTAAAATTGTGGTTGTTAAACCCATGTTGATAATAATCCAATTCTAACTCCAGGAATCGGCAAACTCATTGAAATTATTTAATTTGATGAAATATATTTAAAAAGTTAAACAAGTATGTAGGATTAAAGATTAAAGATATATTGATTTGAGTTTATTAAAGTTTGAAAGCTATTGGCTATAAGATATATTAAAAATGAATTTTTAATAAAATTTAATTTTATAAATCTGACAGGTCTTGTGATTAAAAGGAATTTCCTTGAGTTGTACTATAATCATACTATATAATTTGACTTAATTTCATATTGCTTTATGTGGTGTTTATCAAATAGTATTTATTTTTGTATATTATATGTATCAAATGAGAAAAAATATATATCCTTATATCAGGCGCGTACGCAGAAATTTGGTCTAGGGGGGGGGGGGAGGGGAATAATAAAATTTTTTAAGAAATATTATTGTTTTTTAAAAATATCAAGCATAAATTTATTAGGACTAATAACTATTTCTAATACACAATTTTAAATTTATGTGAATTATAAAAAAATTATATGTAAAGAATCACTTAAATGACCCAAAATAGAAATTTTATTTTTTTGGGCCTTTACACAAAAAATTTCTTAGGAATAATTGCATTTTGTATGTTATATATTTACAATGTAAAATCCAATCTTCGTTGTGATTGAGCTAATTTTTCTATTATCTCATCCTTGCTTGTCGTCAAATGCTTATGAATATTCAAAAGATCCAAACCTTTCCATCTACTTTCAGATGTTGTACTTCTTGGTATGTTTTTCAGAGACCTGTAAACCCAGCCCCCGGGCTAGACAGTATTTTAATTTTTTAAATATACCCTGGCCGGACCCGAAATTTTTTTTAAAAAAACACCCAACCCGGGCCTGAATTATTTTAAAAAAACACCCAATTCGGGCTGTATTTTTTAAAACAGCCTATATTTGAAATCGTTATTATTAGCTATAAAAATAAAAAATAAATAAAATTTATTTTTAAAAAATCCGAGCCGGGCCTGAAAATTTTATTTAAAAAAAGCTGGGCTGGGCCTGAAAATTTTTTAAAAAAAGCCGGGCCGGGCCTGAAAATTTTAAAAAAAAACCCAGGCCAGTCCGTAAAAAATCTTTAAAAAAATTCCGGGCAGTACCCTGCAAATGGTACTTCTGCAGGCCTCCTTAAAAAAGAGAATGTTCTCTCATTAGTTTACTAATGGGAAGAGTTTTTAAACCCTTTTAATACATTGGGAATTTAATCTAAAATGTGTTTGAAATAATCAGAACATCCATAGCATTTTGGGACTATATCAACCATAGTTAATCTTATGAACATAGTTATTAACATCTTCATAATAAAAATCTAACTAATATTTTTTTTCTATCACCATCTGAAAAAGGTTGGGAAGTCTTTTGTGGAAGTAATATTTGCAGATTAGTAAGCTCTGCATGATGAATTAAAAATTCATTTATTTGGGTTATAAATGTAAGATATACTCTTCTACTGATCCTATATTTATGTTTTAACGATGAGCTTGCCTTGCAATAAGTCGAGGAAGACAAATATTAAACACGTATAGCTCTGCTTTTGACTCAACAATAAAATATGAAATTCTTCATCAACTTAACCCTAATTTCCTTGAGTTCTGTTAAAATGCTCTTCGCTATATTCATCTTCTTAATCAAGTCAATGTCATGTTTTTGAAAAGTAACACTTAAAATAGTTTTATAATTTTCTAATGAGAAATAAAATTTGGAATAAGCATTGAATAATTTTCTTGCTTCTGAGGAAATATTTCTTTCAGGTCATTGTGATATTTCAGTAATAGAATTAATAATCGGCTCTTCTAACTCCATAAAAGCTGTTACTGCTTGATGGAGGATGCCCTATCTCGTTGGACAAGGTTGCAATTTCTTTCTCCCTGTTGGACAATTTCAGATAATTATTATTTGACTAGAAATTTAGATAAATAATACGTCACTAAAATTTGAAAATAATAGGTAAATTACACCAAGGAGAACTTGAAATCGAAATTAATTGATAAAATAACTTAGTAGATGAATGTGATAAATAAATGTAATTAAATATATGTATGAGATAGGAATAAATATTAACAAATATAAATTAATATAAACAATAATATTTTTGAAAAATATATCCAGCATCTGCATTTTTTGGCATTGGGGGGGGGGGGGGTTCCCCCTGCCCCCACCCCCGCTGCATACGCCAAAGTCGTATATTCTTTTACAAAATCGTTTGTCTATTACAATAAATTGTAGCTTAAAGCCACAAGATACAATTTATAATAAAAGTTAATACACTACACTTTATTTAGTTTGCATTCGACTTTAAGATTTTATACAGCATATTGAAAAAATGTTTCACTGTAAACATGTGTGTTATGCCAATTTTAAAGTGAGATCTTAGTTAAAATACTATTACGCAAAAAACCTCGTGTTTTTATTAATAGATGTCAAAACTTTTTTGCTCTCCTAAAAAATCTCCGGTTTAGCATAATATCTAAAATATTTGATTAGTCGTTTTTGATCGAGCCTTTTAACAAAATTATTATCATGTTTTTTAGACATTTAAGAATATGATCATATGGTTAAAGCTGACAACTTTATAAAAAGTGTCCATCGCTTTCGATTCTGAGTTTGAAAGTTTCAAATATCTAGTATCTAATTAATGATTGTTATAATGTATCTGAGTAATGAAACTTAATAAGTAGGTATATATTTATATTTTATTAGATTAAAAATATATGTCAGCTTTTTTCACCCCAATTTAACTGGTATAGAAGCTGTAAAACTATTGCTGGAAAAAGGTTCTTCTGGCGATTTTCTTATAAGACCAAGTGAAAAGGCACCTGACAGTTTTACATTGTCTGTTAGGTATTATAATATTTTTTTCAAGTATTATATTGAATTAAAGGCAAGGAATGCAAGTTGTACATATTAATATTATAAATAATGGAGAATATTATAGTATTGGTTCAGATACTAAAGAAGGCTTTGCCACATTAACCGAACTTCTTCAGTTTTTTAGCAAGTCAGATCCTTGTACTCCTAAAATCAAAGAAAGACATGGCAATATTATTTATCTAGACAGAGTGTTTCCTTGCAACGATTTATGCTATCAAAGGTAAATGCTTATTTATTGTATTTGATATAATTTTATTGAACTTTTTTAAAGATATCTTTGATATTTACTTCATCTACCTTAGATATTTTACATTTGTTATAAACTCCATATTTATTAAAAAAATTGTTTAGTCAAACGATTAATAATTTGATCAATTATAAGGTGAAACACCTTAACCCTATAGAAGTTAATTTGGTCTTGTAGGCATTCATCTTTCCATTCATTGCTATGCAACCTCCTTGTTCATTATTCTATTTTTTGGCACTCAGATTTTATTTTTAATCAAAAATGTTTTCATTTAAATTTGTAGACACTTTTATATTTTTATTATGAATAAATATAGAGGTTAAAAGATATAGATGACTTGGTATCTTAATCTTTTCCCACACTAATAAAATTTCTCTCTTTTTAAAAATAATTTATATAAAAAAAGGTATGAATTCATTAAGAAATGGATTTTTTGGAAAAGCCAGATATTAAAATACAAATTAATATCTCTAGATTTAAAATGTCATAAAATACATTAATAAAAATATAAACTTATATTTTTTTCTGATTGACCTCTTTTTTGTTGCGTTCTTCTGTTAGTTTTTTTTTCTTGTAGCTGACTCATATATTAATATATTCTTCCAGCCTCATAAGCAAAATACCCACCTAAACTTATGGCCAGTCAGTCATTAATTGTTAAGATGCATGATATTTGGAAAAGGATTGATATTGATTCTCAACATTTTATGAATTGGCTAATTTTCCATAAACCTGGATTATAATTCATATCATAGCCCTCTAATATAGGTATACAATAAAGTGTCAGTTGAAATATTAAGGTGTGGGGAGTGTAGCCATATTGTCATGCCAGTATTTATTTTATGATAAAACCATCTTAGTCTTATGTAGGGGTGTACCGATACCACTTTTTAGAGGCCGATCATATCTAATTTTGTATTCTGTGAATATACCAATGGTTTTAATTTTTAATATACTTTTTATTAGTATAACATCTATATGTCATTTAAATATATTATAATGATCAGTTATATTTTATTTCAATTCAAATGCAATTCTAAAAGTATATAAAATATTTTTATTGTTAAATCACTTTTATATAACATTAATCTATATACATAATAAGTAATAAACAAATATATGAAATTTGTAATAAATATTTAAAATAATATTTCATAATATATAAAGATTTCTTTTAGGAATACAAAAATTTCCAATTTATCAGAGTTCAGACTGTGGCAATAGTAACTGTCAAAATCACCAGCTTCATTAAAAAAAACAGATTCTGAAAAGATTATCACACGCCTGTGGTGATAGTAACTGTCAATATCACCAGCTTCATTAAAAAAACAGATTCTGAAGAGATTATCACACAAAACAGAATGCGTAAAAAAAAATAATATTGCAGAATGTTTATTAATTAATTATTATTAAAAAAATATACATAAATATTGATTTCGATTTTATTTATAAAAATAAATGATTTTAGATATAACTTTTGTGGTGTGTGTTCATTAGTTTTGCCAAGTTTATTACTGTCACAATTTTAGATGTTAATGTAATTATAGTAATGTATCATTGTCTTAAATTTAATTGTTAATTTATTTATTTTTAAAATTTGTTTATTATAACGATTTGATTATTAATTTATTTATTTTTTTAACTAAAATGTTTTAACCAGGAATCGGTAGTTCCTAAATAGAGAAAAATGGAAATTGGTTACTTCCTTTATTTTGGGGTTCACTTTATTTTTTTAATGAAATTGTTTTTTTTTACTTGATTTTCCTCTTGAAAAATATCCCAACACAAAACTAAACTTTTACAAACACAAAAAGAAACTAACTTTTATTTTTTTGAATTCTTCAATTTATAATAATCAAAAAAAAATATTAATAATAATTTTTAAAAATTTTATTACGCATAAAAAAAATTATAATAAAACAAATTTTTTTAAAAAAATAAATAAATCAATAATCAAATCATTATAATAAACAAATTTTAAAAATAAATAAATTAATAATCAAATCATTATAATAAACAAATTTTAAAAATAAATAAATTAACAATTAAATCTACGACAAAATGATACATTACTATAACTAATTACATTAAGATCTAAAATTGCTACAATAATAAACTTGGCAAAAAAATGACCACATACCACACCTCCCTCAAAAAAACTAGACTCCTCTCTCTCCTCATCCGACGACATGTATTTTAGAAGGTGGTCTAGTTCAAGAAATGTTCAAAGGCAAGAGAGGCAGACTTAAGTAGGCCTATTCAATAATAATTCGATTCGAATCTAATCGAATAATTACGAATACGAATAATAAATTATTTGTTTTATCTGAATACGAATAATCATTTATTCGATTCGAATAAAACGAATTATTCGTAATATATAATAAATTGTTTAATAAATCTAACATTTGTCATTTCTATTTGTTGACCTGCCAATCGGACAGGTGATGTGTTTGTGTTTATAAAAATTCTAGCACAAATTTAAAAATTTCTGAAGTGAAAATTTAAATTTTTATTTGCCACATTTTTTGAATCTCACGAAAAGTTTATTTTTTGAATCTCATAATAAATTATATTAAAAATTACACAAACCAGAGGTACATAAAAATATATTACATTTCTACAATAATTATTGTTAGCTAGCCTAATTATGTTAGAGGAGAATGCTTCTGATGAAATTATGCTTGATGTTGAAGATGAGAAAATTTCCTCACAAAAGAGAGCAATCATATGGGATCAATATCAAATCCTTAAAGATAGTGAAAAGGCTGCTTGCAATCATTGCAAGAGTATTATAAAATGTAAAGGCAAAACAACATCTCCTTTTATTAATCATTATAATAGGTTTCATTCAGACCTTAGTAAAAAAAATAATAAAATTGACATTTTTTTAAAGTCTACACCAAATTTTTCAAAAAAAATTAATTTTAAGGATAATTTATTAAAATTATTTATAAATCATAATATTCCTTTTAAAATTATTAATTCTAATGATTTTAAAAATTTTATAAGTGATCTTGATTGTTCTGTAAAATCAATATGCTCCAATACTCTTAAATTGCACATGTATAATACATTTGCAGAAAAAGAACAATTGGTAAAGGAAATAATATCTAAAAATAAAAGTCAGATTAATTTTTCATCTGACATTTGGACTAGCCCAACACAGGTTCCTTTTTTAGGGCTAACAGCCCATTTTATTGATGATAATTTTAAAATAAATAACATAATTTTGGATGTCAGTCCAATAAATGAAACACATTCAGGTGAAAATATATTTAAAGCCTTTGTCAAAATAATTAAAAATTATAATTTAGAGAATAAAAATTTTTATATAACTTTAGATAATGCAACTAATAATAAAATATTTATTGATACATTTTCTTTAAAATATCCCTTAATAAAAATAGGGCACATCCGATGCTTTGCCCATGTAATTAATTTAATATCCAAAGAAATTTTAAAAATTTTAGACCCTTCAATTCTAAAACTAAGAAACATTATTAGAATGATTCGTAATTCCCCTCAAAAATTAAATTTATTAAAAAATATATGTAGTTCCCTACATCCTCCCCTAAATTTTTAAAACCAAAATTGGATTGTGAAATAAGGTAGAATAGCACCTATCAATTGAAAGGGGCTTATTGTTAAAGCCTGCTATAACAAAATTAGTTAATGAAGTAATAACTAACATTAAAATTCTTCAAGAAAAACAAATATCAGAGGTAAACTAAAATTTATAATTAGGTAATAATATTACTTTGATAACATATAGGAAGAATGGGAGGATCTTATAAAAATTAAAGCTATACTATTGCCTTTAGATGAAACTAAAAATATGGTATGTGGGGAGAATTATCCTACTTATAATTTGGTTATACCTTATTATATTTTAATTCTTGAACATCTAAAAAATGAAAAACCTGATTTCCATAAATCCTTTAACAATAGTTTCAAAGTAGCATGTGATAAATTGTTGGGCTATTATAATTTAAATGCCGATGATGCAATAATAACCACAATATTAGATCCCATACTTAAAGTAGAATATTTTAAATCAATATCTGTTGATTATGATATTGATATATCCAAGTTAATGGACAAATTTAAAGAGATTTACAATAGATATACAGGTATTTAATTTACCCCGATTTAAATATGATTTTATTTTATAAGCTCATAATTATAACTGTCAAACAAATAAGGATAAAATTCAACAAAACAGGCTAGACATTGTTTTTAAACAAAATAATATTTAACTGTGTGAAATAGATTTTTATCTGAGTGAACCAAGAGCAAAGAGTGATACTGACCCATTAATGTGGTGGAAGGTAAATGCATATCGGATCCCCATACTCTCGAAAATGGCAAGGGATTATCTATATATACAACGAACATCAACTGCTTGTGAAAGGCTTTTCTCAGTTGGAACTAATTTATTGTCAAAAAACCGCATGTCATATAAGGAAGAAAATATAAGAAAAACTCTTTGCCTTAAAAATTGGCTTAAATTATAAATTAAATTAATAATATATATTTTAATTTTGTTTATAACTTGATTATATATTATTTATTATCAGATTATTGATTACATATTATTATAATTTTTTCTGTTTAAAATCAAATTTGTAATAAAAAAATTTGTCAATATATTTGAGTATGATTTATTTTATTAAAAAAATTAATTCGAATTATTCGAATAATTCGAATCGAATACAAATAGTAGATTTTATTATTCGTACGAATTCAAATAGTAAATTATTCGATTCGTTTAAACTAATCGAATATGAATAATGCACTATTCGATTCAAATTCGTTTTTGAATAGGCCTAGACTGAAGTAATAGTATCGGAACCAACGGGAGTATATGAAACTTGGCCGAGGGAAGAGCCAGATGGAACTAAGGAAGGGTGGACCGAGTCATGGTCAGGGGAACAATAAGGATCGGATATGTGTGTAACCAGTAATGTAATCATCCCGGAGTCTTGGGAAGCAGAGGAAGGCCACGGTCAGGGCGATATAACGGGTGACGAGCAACGGGATCCCGATGAAACAGATGCTTGGGAAGAGTTAAGGAGACTAAGAGGAAACGAGGCAGGGCCAGATGGATGGACAGGAGGAGAAGAAGAAAACGGAGTCTCAAGTGTAGATTGGGAATTAGACCACCTTCTAGAATACATGTTGTCGGATGAGGAGAGAGAGGAGTCTAGTTTTTTTTGAGGGGAAGGTGTAGTATGTGGTCATTAGTTTTGCCAAGTTTAATACTGTCGCATTTTTGATGTTAATGTAATTAGTTATAGTAATGTATCATTGTCGTAGATTTAATTGTTAATTTATTTATTTTTAAAATTTGTTTATTATAACGATTTGATTATTAATATTTTAAAAAAATATTTGTTTTATTATAATTTTTTTTTATGGGTAATAAAATTTTATTTATTTTTTTTTGATTATTATAAATATTTAAGAATTCAAAAAAATAAAAGTTAGTTTCTTTTTGTGTTTGTGAAAAAGTTTTGTTTTGTGTTGAGATATTTTTCAAGAGAAAAAAAGAGGAAAATCAAGTTAAAAAAACATATGTATTTCGTTAGAAAAATAAAGTGAACCCCAAAATAAAGGAAGTAACCGATTTTCATTTTTCCTATTTAGTAACTACCGATTCCTGGTTAAAACATTAAAACTTTTTTTAAAAATTTTATAATTTTATTTTTGTTAAAGACGTCATTTTATATCGGATCGGATCGGAAAATTTTATAATAGTTGCCGATAACCGATATTTTAAAATAGGTGAAATATCCGCCCGATATGATCCGATATACATTACTAGTCTTGGGGAAGGAGTCTTAGTTAAGTTCTACAGGGCCATCTGGGGGGGGGGGGAGGATCATCAATAAAATTCAGAAAAATCAAGATTTTTTAAAGATCAAGATTCTTTTTATGATTTTATTATGAGATTTTTATGCATAAAAGTCATAAAAGATTTACTTATAAAATATTTTTTAAGATTTAAATGATCAAAAATTTTGTTTAGCTCCAAATAATTTAGAGAGGTTTTATTTTGTAGAACATCTCAGACTCTAATTTTTTCTGAACCCAAACCAAACATTAGATATTCTGAAAAAACAAAATATAACCACAGTAAAATCAAAAATGCCTAATCTGTATTTTCCATAGGTCTGATTTTTATGAAGGTTAGATAGATTGGGACTTGGGAATGAAGCCCTTGCAAAATTTCGACCCCCCCCCCCTTCATGGATAAATTTAATTGTAGTTTGATTTTTAATCACAGATAATAACTTGAAATTTTACCGGCTTAATCAATGTATCATATTAAGGCAAACTCATTCTTAATATACTTGCAGCTATTCTTAGGCAAGAATTTAGATTTGTTGAAAACACAATAAAAAATGTCCCTAATTTATTATAATCTCTATTTCATACATTGATTTTAATTTAAATTATCTATTTACTGTCCCTTTTTATAACCATGCTGACTTTAGGCAGTGTCTAACTAAAGTAAACTCTGGGTACAGCCCTATATTTAGATGAAATAGGTTCTACCAATAATCTTTCGAAAATTATAATCATTGATGTAACTATGGGTAGAGGAACTTTTCCTTCTATCACTTTTTATAAGTATCGTTTTAGCTAGAATACCATTTTGGCACTAATTATCCCAAAATTATATTTCTGAATTTGTCCAAAAACTATTTCAAAGCTGCCAATAATGTGGTCGGCACTGCATTTACCTAATATTCGTTATGTGGATCGATATCGCTATTTTTTGCCATTACATTAAATTCAGTCTTCTCTTCTAACTGACTAGACTAAAATTAAAATATAATTTTGATTGTTATATATATGTTTTATATATAGATTAATTGAATATCACTTACACTTGAATTCAGGTAAAGTTGGATTTAGCTCCCAATTATCTAATTTCTTAAATCTCAACTAAATTAATTTGATTTTACTCCACATTTATATTATTTTTTTTAAAAAAGATTATTATATTTGGGATAAGATCATAAACGGAAATCCTTAAATAAATGGGTGGCGTTGTATGAAAATTAATATGATCCTACTTTAAAAACCTGAGGAAATCATTTTCAAATATTTTATATTTGGGGAAAATCAAAAAGAGTTAGGGATGATGTTTAAACAGAATTTATAAATAAAATGAGCGTAAAAGAGTTTTGGTAATCATTAACACATAAAATTCCAACATTTGCATTTTTTTTTCACATCGCGACTTATCTTTCCAAACAGACCCTTTTAATACGACACCGAAACAAATTCTTATAAATTATTTTTGCAGGATACAAATCCAGGAATGTCTGAATAGGCAGGCAGGGTATCCTTGCCTTAAGATATTTTTTAGAATATTTATATATTTTTTATCCTGCATCGTCCTGTGTGATATTAATAATTTATTTATATTTCTTAAAAAATATCGTTAAGTCTTCGACAAGCTTGCAGAATAGAAATTACTATCAAAAATTATGAAGAGAATTGTCCACCTGTGTCATATATTTTTTTATTGTTTCAATTACTTTCTATAGAAAAAATTATGCAATCTTTGCGCATAAATAAAATTCATTTAATTAATATCGGAAAATGATATTTTTTCACACAAAATTTTTTAAAGAAAAATTTGAAAATAATCAATGCTGATACAAGTACGATGATGTGGTTAAAATATTATAAATCATAATGGATATCCTAAAGATACGAATATGCTTTTTACTTGTGCATTTCTTTCAGGGCTTGTCCTTCGGAAAATTTATATCCTTGTTAAACGATCCTTTATGAATCAAATCTTGATCCCGATATTTAAAAAAACTGAATAGCAAATTTGGATGATTAGAACTTTTAAAAATTTAATATATAAAAACACAGATATTTTCAATGAGACAGTTTATTTCGCCGAATCGCCGTAAATTTGATTTTTTTAAAAATTAGATTTCAAGTGCAATAAATTAAATTTTAAAGAAATACCGGAAATTATAATTTGAAAATTCCGGTTGCTATCTTCATTTTTTTAAAGAACGACCATTTAGGCAGTTTGCCAAAATCATCAGAAGAAATTGGGTTGCTTGAAATTGAGGGGTTTATACTAACAATTATAATAATTGATCGCTTTTATAAGGTCTTGTTTTAAACTCCAAGATATTCTATATCAAAGATAGTAAAAAGAATATTATATAATTGGAATTTTATTTGTTATTTCAAAACTAAATAATCTTGTTTCACCCAAAACTTCAAGTATAAAAAATTATAATTATTTCACACAGATATTTTCATGGTGATATCAGTGGTTCTGAAGCTGAAAAATTGTTGACTGATTTCGGTAAGCCCGGGAGCTATTTGGTACGTCATAGTCAGACTACCCCGGGCAAGTTAGTCTTGAGTGTTTTGCGCTCAGATATTGCCCAAGGTGCCGTAACTCACGTATATATACGCTTACAGGTTAACATTATTCAATATCTTGATTTTATATCTACAAAAATTCGAGTATACCTAACTTAGAACAAATCCTATTTTTATGACAAATAAATTTTTCGATTTAAATCCGATATAAGTGTGAAAATTTTATATTTATATTGAAATTTTTTTTTATAAAGTCAATATTTAATCAAACGCCCTCCGAATTTTTAAGAATTTTATTTAACTAAGATAGAAAATAAACTATATCGCTCATTTTTCAACTCCTCTTACTCCTGGAGATATTTTTTATTGATGCACATAATTTTAAACATCTCTGGAATTTTGTAATGAAAGTTTACTAGAATCCGGCGTTGAAAACTGGAAATAACTAGAAAAGGGTAGATTTTTTTTTTCAAATTTATTATTTAACCAGATTGCATTATTACAAAATCATTGACTAATTAGGGTACTGGCCTAAGGTGATGCTTTGACTAAAATTCATTAAATATTATCAAAATGTCATTTATATTTTAAGCGTGTAATTATACCAGGGCTTCCAATCGAATCCGATTGCGGGCTATTTTTATTAACCTTAACAATTGTTTAATTTATTGTCTTGGAAAACGTTTAGAAATTTACTAAGAAAAGACCAAGTTTTTTGAAACCATTTTTATATTGACATCATTTAACAGTAGAAAATCAAAATGTCACAGTTTTATAATTGTTTCACAGTTTAAATAAATTTGTTCAATTTTTAATTCATGTTTTTCAGAGTTTCAAATTAAATTATTTTTCAGTTTTTCTTTACCGAAATGTAGTTGGTTTCGCATCTAATAAAATTAGTATTTCTCCTCATATTAAACACTATCTCTTATCTTTATGGCATATCCCTAAGCTAACCACTAACACGGTCAGACCCTTAGTCTGAACCACGTAGTTCGGCAACATTAATAGAAACTTACTGGCTGCTTCTATCTGCTCCACAGCCCTAAGTATCCATTAGATTTTAACGAACAAGTGAGTTTGATGTTAGTAAAACAGCGGATTTAATAATAAAAAACGGTGAAAATAATAATAAAACTGAGGATTTATTTAGAAAATTGAAAATAATGTTAAAACTGATCGTATTTATTAGACTTTACATATAATTTGTTCCCTTTTTATATCAGAAACCAATATTTTATAAAAAATTTCAAGCCCCAATTTCGGATTCGAAATTTATTTTGGCTATACCCTTATTTTTATTTTATGAATTGATGGAATATAATATATCTTTATTAAACGCTTCATTTTATAATTTTTCAACTGATTAATTGATATAATTGTAAAAATAAATTTTAAAATCTCGATTTGATCGGTTTTTTAAAACCATTTAACTCAATATTTTATCCAGAAAAATATTACTCAAGCCTGAATATTTTGCTCATAGATGGCACAAAGGTTTGGACATTTATAAGCAAAATCACGAGCTTAGGTAATATTCTGGCTAAAATATTGAGTTAGTGTTTAAAATTGGGCTCAAATCGAGCCATTTTACAGCACTAATCCGTCCAGCCTGGATTCTTAAAGTTTTTAAGCTCGCTCGGATTTTTATCTTTTTAAAATTTTTAACCCCGGTCCGTGTTTTTATCTTATTTTTATTCGTTACAGGTTGTGCCTTCAGGTCTCTAATGTATAACACATATCTTTCTAACCTTTTAATCCCATAGCTTTTACTTTTGCAGAAGGTTAATTTCAGAAAAAAAGAGACCTGATTTCTTCTCCCGAAACTGCCACATAAAAAATTAATATATTTTTAAAATATTCCCTCTTTTCTCCTATTTTTTTAAACATTTTTAATTATTTATTTAAATTGGTTATTTTTGTTTAGTAAAATTATTTCCAGGACGTTTATCTTAAGTTTAATGAATTTTAGACATGAATTTTTAAAGGATTATAGCTCCTTAAACAGTCCTTCACCCAGTCTAAGATATCATACAAGTATAATACAGTTGAACGCCTACATATATAAAAATTTTAAGGATAAAAGATACCTTTTTTTACTATGACAATTTTTGGCTTTTGGTTATAAACTGAAATTTCCTCTAGCTGGGCTATACTTAAACGAATTATTCATTATTCGATTCGTAATTTACGAATAAGAAAAATATATTATCTGTCGATATTTTTTATCTATTCGAAATAATTCATAAATAATCAAAATTATTCTTGCGAAACTTAATATTTTTTTTACTTTTCCCACATCTAGAAATCACATTTTGAAATTTTAATAATCCATTTTTTCATTTTTAATAATATTTTTAAAGAATTTAATTTTCGAAACGAATCGACTAATATTCAACGAATCAAATCTAAAACTGTTATTCGAATCGTATGAATATAAATAATACAACTATACCACTTGATAATACGAATAATGCAGATATTCATTCGTATTTATGTAGGTATACACTGGACCCATATCTGGTCGAGTAATTATTTGGAAAGTAAAATTTTATTTATTATTTAGTTATAACAATAGGAGGGACAGGAGTCCATAAAAAATTGAAGTGCTATAAAAAATAGAGAAGCAAATTTTCCAAAATATTTAAACGTAGTTTTATTCTTTACATAATATCTACGATAGAAATTAATACAGAAAAAAATCTTTTCTTTTTTTAAAAAATATAAATAAAAAATGAAAATTTAAGAATTATGAAAAACATTTGGGTTACATTTTAGCCCATCGCGGTGCATTTTATAGCGTTTCTTTGTTAAAATTATGTATACAAAAATGTTCAGCCTAAGTAAATTAATGAAGATACATTATCAATTATGTTAAATGTAACCAGGTTCTTCCATATTATATTTAACACCTGGAAGAATTTGTCACTTAAAACTGCCATATAATTTACAAACAAGTTAACCGTCTTCCTATTGTCATACGTGACCCTGGACAAACTCATGGCCTCTGGTGTTCTCATAAATATAGTTTTTTATTGAGAATAAATCCCTGTTTAAAAATGGCTAATACTTACCCCTCCAAAACCTACCCCGAGTCTTCACTTTTATTAAAATTTAATTCTTGTACATCATAAAATTTTGATTACTATTTCATTTAGAATTGATATTTAGTTTATAGTAACTTTTATAAAAATTTTTATTAGAATAGATATAAAAAATTAAAAAGTTACATTTTATGTGTTTAAATTTAAATATGCATTTAAAACTTAACATGAGCATATTCTGCGAAATATTTTTATAACAATTAAGCATCTTGTTAAAATACATTTATGGGTTAAATCTCTAATATCAAGGTAATTTGTTTTAAAATTATTTGATAAGGAAATACCTGCCACAGAATAACACCATCCCCGGTCTCCCCTTCGATCATTATACTATAATATTTGTGAGGAGGGCTGAATCTTTAGCTGATTTATTATGGATTAGTATCAACATAATATTAAAAATAATAAATTTTTAATTAAATTATATATTTAAAGAACGGACAATATGACATAGGAGGAGGTCCAAAATTTACCGATTTGAATGAACTCATTTCCAATTACAAAAATTGTTCGATGGTGGAATCGAACGGCTCTGTTTTGAAATTGACAAACGTATAAAATTATATAATACAAATACAATCAGGGGTTCAAACCCGAATTCGGTTTTAACTTTATTTAGTTTCAATTTTAATAGACACAAACTTTATCGAAACCGATTTCTTATTGAGGTTCAACCCCACTTCGGTTTTAAAATAAACCGGATTAGTTGGGCCATTAATAAATCTGACCTTGTTTGGTCTGTGTTCTCAAAATGTCCGACTAAACCATTTTAAATGTCTCAACCCGAATATGGGTTCGAATTCTTGACTACATTATTCGATTTTTTAAAATATTTATCATTATACAAAGGCATCGAACATTCTTTTAGCGGTCCGGTAAATTAGCATTGAATACAGGACTCTACTTATTGATGCTAAACTACTATAAATTATTATTGTTTATAAAATTGATTTAAATTATTTCTTTTCCTATAGCCAATTAACGTAACGAGCATGAAAGCATTGGCCTTCCCTAAATACGTACGGACTATGCTTAATTTAGGCGATTCCCTTTCAACCGATTCAATCCATCCCTTCATCCATAATCAAACAACATCACCGGAACCTGACGTTAGATGTTGTCAACTTAAAAATGGATTCAGCGATGAATATGAAGTTTTATTAACAGCATTTTGTTGTACCTAACGTATTATTATCTTGTTTTCCTCAATACTTTATTCTAATAATACACTTTGCCGATTTTTGCTTCCATTTTTAACTAGAAAGTGATATCCATAGTTAATAAGTTTTTTTAAAATAATATTTCTAACTTTGTATGGCGTTTTATATCACACACACTAGATAATAGCAAATTCGATGATTCGAATTGATTATATCAAAATATAATTTTTTGATTTATTTTTTCGAAATTATTTTACTGAACATTTTTGATATTTAATTATGCAACTTTTACTTTATAGTTTTACCTTGAAAGATATTTTACTTTTATATAATTTTAAAGGAGTTATTTTTATGTGAAAGTGTTTTGTATTTATCAGAGACCTACGGGCAGGGCCGTATTTAAATTTTTTTAAATACCAGGGTCGGGCCTAAGATTTTAAAACCGAATATTTTAAATCGTCATTATTAGTTAGGTATAAAAATTAGGAATAAATGTTTATTTTAAAAAATCCGGGCCGGACCTGAAAATATAAAATCCGGGCTGGGTCAAAAAAATTATGGGCCAGGCCTTTCAAATGTTACCTCTCTGCAGGTCTCGTGTATTTATTAAAAACTTAATTTTACCTAAATATAAATTAACAAAATGAAATTTTATCCCAAATTAACAAGAAAAAAATTCATATCTAAAATATACAATTTTATGAAATTTTATTTAAAATTAACTAGAAAAGAACATTCATATAAAAAATATAAATTCACAAAAATTTTGGGTTAGCTTTCCATATTTTTTGTAAAATTTCAAATGTAAAAAGCATTATCTAAATAGTATTTCGGTATAATATTATTATTTAAAATATTACAAAAAGTGCTTGCGTAAATTAACCTCCAAAGATTCTAGTTCCAGAAACGAAGGCGAAAAAAGTATTAATAGCCACAAAAACAGATACCGAAACATTTTACCATGTAAGCATAGGGTTACATTATCAATATACTATTTCAGAAGATCAAAATCTATTACAATTTTTGTTTAAATAAACTTTTTGTAAAGTTGATCATACAAGAGTTATCCTTCGGCCATTCAATAATCATTGCCCTAATAAACCTTATACCATGGGCGATATTGAGAATACTAATGGCGATTATATCAATGCTAATTATATAGCTGTAAGGTATATTTATTCATATCATGTTTTTATTCGTTATTATCAAAAGGTGATGATCTAAATCACGAGAACCATAAATATTTCCAAAAATGATTACATTTTTTTAATAAATAATAAGTGGCAATATGAATATGCATTTTATTTTATTCATATTTTGTTAGCCGGATAAATATCAAATTCCAGATAATTTATGTGCTGCCAATGCTAGTCCTGGACCTGACTGGTATATCGCCACTCAAGGACCCCTAAAAAATACCGTAAGCCACTTTTGGAAGATGGTGTGGCAAGAAAATACGCGAATCATAGTCATGGTTACTAAGGAAATTGAAGGCTCAACGGTTATAATAAAATATTATATCGAGATTTTGGAGTTTTCTAATATTGTTTCCAAGAGTGTTTATGTTTTGTGCTTTAAAAAGCGGGTTTTTTAAATATTTATATTAATAAATTTAGGCTGTTAAAATATTAATTTTTATACCTTAGAAAAGATAAATATTACGTTTTAGGGGAAAAAATGCAAAATTTCTTTTTACAGGAATATAATATATATAAATATGTTTTAACGCCAAATCAATTCCATAATTACTAGGATAATAAGAATAGCCTTATATTCTTTCTTTGATACATGAGATATATCAAAAAAATACTTTTAAAAAGCAGATAGATACAGAGATAGATTGTTCAATATGCTTTTTAATTAATTGATGCTATAAAAAGGATGTCATAAATAGTTGTCAAAAAAAATGGGATAAAAAATGTATAGAGATAATTAAGAGTCCATATAAAATATAAATATACATACATAATTTACAGGATATTACTGAATAAAACATATAAGTTTTAAATGTAAACAAAATATAAAAATATCAACAATAGCAAAATATTTATTATAATAAATAATGTATAATAATATAAGGGGGAAAAGGGAGTTTTGCCATGTATGTTAAAGGAACTAAGAGAGATAAAGAAGTATTTCAAAGAAACACTTGTAAGGATTTCAATGTGAGTTTTTTGTTTGGGAAAAGGGACTCGTTTTTAACCCCCGTCCTTATTGAAATTTTCTTACACAATTGATCTAAAAATTTAAGGGAATTGGGGACCGGGATTCCCCAAAACACTAAACATTAGAGGCAGAAAAATAAAAGAATTTAAGAGGGACCTATAATTATTGCACATTTTAATTTCTTGGAATTCCAAGATATTAGAGTTTCTATTGGTGGGAAATAAGGTAACACATGACACATCCCACACAAGTCTTTTGCTGCATAGGACATGCCATCGGAACGCTCCATCCTCATTAAAAAGGCCTAAAGGCTCCAAACTATTGGGGAAACCGGCGGAAATCAAAGATTTGCAGATCAACCTATATAGATTTTTAAGCAGCAAAAAGCGGTCGCTGACTTTAAGGCAAAAGAAACAATGACTAGAAAAACTTGCTTATTGCAGGCATCGCAAGTCTCAACAGACTGGATAAGACAACTTAGCCCATGACCAATGTCAATTTGAAATTTATCGTTTGTGAGTAACATTTCCATTTTCTTACTCGGGAGCTATTTATTCATGGCCGTTGGAATTTTTTTTCATTTCTGAGTAGTTGAAGGTTAGTTAGATCGAGGCACGCAAAGTTTATAAATACACATTGAAACTAGGAAGCTTTTAAATGGCTGGAAACGGAATGATCGGACCCTTGGAGAACTAGAGTAAGCCAAGATTAGTTGGTCGAAGCTAGTAGTATCGTTCAACTCAATAATCGAGAAAATAGAATCATTAAAAGATATCCATGAAGAAAGAAAACGAGTAATTGCATTAAATTAGGGGGTGGAAATCCAAGTTCTCCTTGGTAAGCCGGTAAAGAGGCAAATGACCAATTAAATCGGAAAACTTTAGGACTAACCGGGATTCGATAAAATGTTTAAATTTTAATTCGAAGGGGGTATCTTTTTTTTGGTATATTTAATTTTTTAAGTAACGAGTAACCCGTTACTTTGAATAGCTAGTAACGAGCGTTCTTATTTTTATAAGGTAACGAGTAACCGTAACGCGTTTCTTTTTTCAATTAAGGTTTATAGCACTATAAATTATATGTACCTCACAACCTATACTGAGTTAAAAACTTAAAAAAATTGTTAGTTATTTATGGCATGTTATATACTACCAATACACAAAATTTTAAAGTATTTTAAGGGGACCCGGTTGAATCTTTGATATGAAATTAACCTACCGATAATTTATCTTCATTATTTTATTAGGTTAAATGCGCAAAATATTGGCCCAACCCTGGAACAGTTGACACTCAAGGAGAATTACTCATACAAAATATTACAGAATATTCTATAGATTCTTTAGTGATACTCAAACATGATATAATGAATTCTGATTCCAATATAGATATTAGTGACGATGATATAGTTCGCGAATTGTATATTTACCCCCTAAATAAAGTTATTATTTTAAATAATTCAATTTTAAAATTTAATTTAGATAAATAAGTTATAAGATAAGTTGTGCGAAAAAGTTTAACACTACAATTTAGAAATAAAATAAAGTAATTAAAAGTAAGCTACTACATTAGATGTTTAATTAATACACAAATTTCCTATAAAATATTATCTATTAAGCCAGAGGAGGGGCGAAAAATATATCATTTTCATTGTCGTTCCTGGCCCGATCACAAAATCCCAAAGAACCCTTCTAAAGTTTTGGCTTTTTTGAAAGCGGTCAACGCAAAAAAAATTGAAATCCTCGTTGGTATAAACTACAAAAATAAAAAAGTTGATAACGATTTAAATATAATTCACATTAGTAATAATGGTCTAAATGAATATCGTTCCAATTTCGAGTTGGGCCCTATGGTAGTTCATTGCAGGTATAGTTTGAAAACTAATATTATACTTTGTTTTAATTAATATTTAATTTTATATTACTTTTAAACACCAATGGATTGATTATAATGATGATGAGATGCCATTTTGAGAATGTATTGGGTTGCGAATATAATCTGAAATATTTTTTCGCAATAAAATCTTAGTCAGTAGGAATTATAAATCTTTCGTGCCGGGCTCGAGCCTTCAGGCTGGGTCGGGTCGGGCCTTGGAAATTTTTTTAAATATATTTAGATTTATCAATTTTATATTGAATTTTTTATGTAAAATAAAATATTTGATTTTATTTATAAAACTAGACGCCATAACATATGTCTTTTATTTTGAGTAATTATAAAAATTAATTTCTAAAATTAAATACAATCGGGCCCGGAAAAAAATTTTTAAGAAAATTTCTGGTTCAAGCTTGAAAAATTAGGCCCGATGCAGATCACTAATAGTAAAGCTTAAATAACCACTCAATCCACCGAATTTTTAAAAAATGAAGTCAAATTAAATTTTATTAAACCAGAACTCTCTTCTTTGGCAATTAGTGTTTTAATTTGCATTTTTTATAGGTTATATTTATTAATTTTACCTAATATAGATGTTGTTACTATTAGCTCTTTATTTTTGATTTTTCAAAATACTCAGAACTTTGAAGTTTATTCTTCTTTAAATGGCATTATAGTAACTTTCTCAATCATTTATTTAATTAATTCGATCATTCTTATTTTTTAAACCTTGTTAATACTGACTAGCTTTATATTCCATCCTGTGAATTTAATATTTTATTTATAAATTTAGTATTTTAGTTATCATAAAATACAATGAAATACGCATATTGTAATATATTTCCAAATATTATTGAACAAAATACTAACTTGAAAATCAAATATAGATATAAAAATTTTAATATCCAGACTGGCATATTTAAATTTTATGAAAAATCTGAGATTTGTGAAGCCTTACCTGATATTTTATATATAAATTGTTCGGCCCGATAATTTTTTTGCACCAATCGATCTGTCCGTTAAATTTTTTGCCCGACCCAGCCCATTATAATTTTTATAAAAAAATTCCGGCCTATGGAATGGGCTTTCGTACGGGTCGGGCTTGCAGATCTCTAATAGGGATTCTTAAATTCAAAATGACACTTTACAAAATATGAAACATTTTAGATAATATCTTTTATTAAATAAAAAAAAATTTATATGTTATTAATTTATTTTTTAAGCGCCGGGATAGGAAGAGCTGGTTCTTATATTGCCTTAGATATGATATTTCACAACCTTCAAAAACACGGTTATTTATTGAACCCAAATTAATTCAGTCCTAAAATAAAATAAATTTACAACGTTATTTCAGGTGCTAGAGATTTTTTTATAAGAAAAAAAGTTTCATAATTGTAATACGTGTCTTAGAAACTATCGAGATTCGGAATATTTTAATTTTAACATTTACTGAGAGTGATTTAAATTTGAATTCTCCCTAAATGCATTCCAGAATGTAAGTATCTACACGAAATTTAACAATAATTTTGTCTTGAACTTTTGAATTACTCTTAATTTATATTAATTTTTATATGCTAGATTTCATATGAATTCAAAGATGCGATAAATTTTATGGCATAAATTGTCTGAAATTTATAGGGTAGGCACTCTACATATTTTGGAATACATTTATAATAAGACTAGATTTAAATTTAAAAATCGCCCTCAGAAATCCCCAGGGATTTCATATCCAATAAAACATGACATACATAGTAATGAAGTTTATTTTTATACGAAAATTAATAATTTAGGCCTTGATACTGATATAGATATCCAAAACACAGTGTATTGGATGAGACTACAGCGGTCTGGAATGGTTCAAACTTTGCAACAATATACTTTTATTTATACTGCTTTGAAGAGTTACATCGAAGAAACATACTTGAAATAATCTATAATCTTATTCAATATTGTTATAATTTATAAACAGAAAATTATTTGTAAAAATATAATTGTTTGGTAGGTTATTATTTAGAAATTTAATATTGCTTAATGTATTGACTTGTTTATAAATATTCGCGTCTCACAAATCTAGGGAAAGTGGCGTTTCAATGTTTTATTTCCAAGAGACATAACAAAAGCATTTTTATGTTTCTGTTTCTTTCTCGTTCCTGCTAAAAATTATGTTCCATTCTCGTTCAACATTCCAAAACGCGTTCTTTGAATTTTTTTATTTTATTTATGTTTATTTTTAATTCATTAATCCTTATATTTATTACCTCTGATTACTCCTCTCAACACTAATCTGCTAACAAATTTATCTATTTGAATTTAAAATTTTTATTATATAATATTAATTTTATAAATAGTTAAATCAGATTTTGAAATGCTTTTCAAAATAAAAAATCCTTAAAGATTTTTGATCTCTGAAGATGTTTTTAAGAATATGCAGGTTTTTTCATCAAATTTTATCTAAAATTCCAAATTAAATAAATTAAGATTTTTATGCATCAAAAATCTTTCATGTTAAAATCACAAATTCTTTAAAATAAATTTTGTTATCTTCAAGGATTTTCTTTGGGCAAAAAAAAATTTAGAAATTTTTTTTTCAAACTGGTTACAATTATTTTGAATTTGATTTAAAAAATGTTTTTATAAACATAAATCATGAAGTAATTATTTTGTTATGTGAAGCAAATTGAAATTAAAGAAAGAAAAATGAATATTTATAAATTAGCCATTTTATAGTCAAAACATTTGGCATCTTTATTTTAAATTCTTTTTTATATATAGTATTTTATAATTATGTAATTTAACTTCTAATATTATGCAATTAGATTTATCTCAATAATATAATATTAAATGTAGGAAAGTTATAATATTGTATGACGAATATAATATTCAAATAACGTTGAATATAACCTTTTAAAATATAGCATCTTATTTCCCACCAAGTTCATTTATAAATCTTTTTGTTGGCCTTCGTTCCCTCGTTGGATATCGGGGTTGAATTCCTTCTTGACTTGGTTTTATTTTATCTTCTAACTTTACTTTATATTGTCATCTATTTTTATTGATTCGGTTTCAACTGGTTCTTTCCTTGTTCGTAGTTGGTCGGCGTGTTTTCCTACGATTTTTTCTTTTTCTTCCCTTTTCCAGGGTTGTGATGGCAGTTCCCCTGGTATAAGGCAACACCTAGTATATCTCTGCATTGTTTTTGATATCTTCCACAGCTGTTAACTAGTTTTCGACATCTTTATCTAATTGTTCCCACTAGTGTTGTTAAACAGCTCGTTTTGAGCCGATTATTAAAAACGGCTAACTCAATATTTCATTCAGAAAAATATTGCGCAAGCCTGAAGATTTTGCTCAGAGAAGGAACAAAGGTTTAGACATATACTCTCGAGGCCTAGGCAATATTTTCCTGGCTAAAATATTACTAGTTCCCACCATATATAATGTCTCGTAATGTATTCCATTAATGTAATACCTGGATGCCCCGTATGCAATATATGTAAAACTCTTTTTGGAGTACGGAATGATTAATTTACCATTCCAAAATAAAATACCGTTATCATTTTCTATTTCATCTATTCCTCTTCTAAAAGCTTGTAATTCTGGTGCTTGATTTTGTATATTTGTACCATTTATTAATATTTTTACTATTAAAATTGGGTCCTTCGAGGTTTCATCAAGTTCTTTTCTTGATAGAGTTAATGTGTCATAAGAAAGATTTCTTATATACACACTTTTATTTTCGCTCGTTATTCTATCATATTTCTCTATTGGATTTCGCGATAAAGCATCTGCAATTATATTATTAGCGCCATTCTTTTACATTATATCATATGAAGATGATTTATAAGCCCAACGTAAAAATCTTTGGTTTGTTAATGAGCTTAAATCTCTGTGATTACCATATATCTTTATTAAAGGTTTGTGGTCCTTTCATATTTTAAACTTTCATCCATATAAATAGGAAATTTTTCTACGCCGTTTATTATTGCTTTAGCTTCTTTGTCTATTGTGGAATAACTTTTCCGCGTCTTGTAAAGATCTCGAGGTGTAAGCTATTGGAAATTCGTTTTCATTATCATATTTTTGCAGTACAGCTCCAAATTCTTAGTAAGAGGCATCTGTTTTTAATATTAACTCTACAGTTTATAAAATTGTATAGTATTTTATTCTGTTACTATTCCTTTTGCTCTTTCATATAATGTATCATCTTTTTTTGTCCAATACCATTTGACATTTTTACTAGTTTTATTATGTAATTCGGCTATAATTCCATGTAAGTTTGATATAAACCATGTATGATAGTTTAATATACCTAAATGATTTTATGTCATGCCTATCTTTTGGAGTTGGATATTTTTGTATTGCTATTATTTTCATTTTATCTGGGTGTATTTTATTCTGATATATTATGTATCCTAAATATGAAACTTTTTTCTCATAAAATTTATTTTGCTTGTTTTGACTTTTAATCCCTTATTTTGTAATTTTTTGAGGACTTGTTTTATATTCTCTATATGTTCTGTATCATTTTTCCCTGTGATTATAACATCATCTAAATAAACTGCTGTATCTTTATAGTTAGCAGTATATCGTTGAAATATTACTGGTGCTATAGCTACACCAAAAGGTAAACGTCATTTGGTGTTACCATGTAAATAATTCTTGCGATTCTTCGTCAATACTCATTTGTAGACATGCGTCTTTGAGATCTAATGTATATTTATTCCATTAGCGATCTTTGCAATTAATTCTTCAAACCTTGGTAGAATGTAATAGTCTTTTAGTAGAAATTTATTTAATGTTACTTTGAAATCTCCACATAATCGTAGTTCCTCTGAAGTTTTACATACCACTAACATAGGAGTACTCCAGGTTTTGTTGAAGGATCTATTTTCTTTATGTTATTTTCTTCCAAACATTTCAGTTTATTTTGAATACTGGTTCGACATTTTTTATTAATCCTAATTTATAATCAAACACCGTAGCAAATTCTTTATATAGTTTGTCAATATTCATGTTACCATTATTATTATATTTATTGTTGATCATATTGATTTTTACATTTGTTGGTAACGATAGATCAGATTCTATAGTCCATGGAAATACAAATAGTGCTGCATCATTTGATTTTGTAACTAATGACGGAAACCATTTTGTTTTATCATCTAGAACTTTTACATAAGCTTCTCCCATAATTTTTATTGTATTATTTCCATATGTTGGAGCTCTAACTATTCTAAGTTTTGGCCTCCCTATTTTAATCCATATTGTTGCATTAATGATGGTTACCACTAAACATTTCTCTAGTTTTACAATATTTGTTGCACGTTTTTCCGTATGCTGGACAATTTCGAATAGCATGAAAACGATTACAAAAATAGCACGGTTTTCTTGTATTATTATTATTTGTGTGGTAGTTATTATAACCTTATACCGGTTCTCTTTTTACGTATGTTTTATTAAGTAATAGGAAAAAAAAACAAACCCCTGGAAAAAAAACCCCCGGAAAAAAAACCCCGAAGAAAAAAAAGAAATCGTTTTTCTAATCTGGTTGGGAATAAACACTCATCAATCTGGGTATTGATTAAAAAATATGAAATGCGAGGTGGCTGCCGATGAAACCAAACTTGAACGATGGCGTGTAGGTAGTTGGGACTGAAAACAAGATCGCAGTGCTTAAACAAGAAAAAATGCTGATATTCAAATTGGTACTGGGAAAAAAATATCCCAGTAAAATAACCCATGTATTACTTATTTTCGTAAAAATTTTTGCTATAGTAATAAATACAATATCCATCCTTAATTACTATATTAAGTAGACTAAATTTGACAAAATTTGCAATAAGATCTGTTTATTTTATTGATAAATCATTAATTTTTTTCTAAAATACTAATTTGTCTACACCTTATATAAATCCAAATAAAAATATACCGATATTATTAGACCTTTAGTAAATTCGAAAAAAAATTTCGAGGTTTTTTTCAAGAGGGTTTTTTTTTTCCTGGTGGTTTTTTTCCAGTGGGTTTTTTTTCCTGGGGGTTTTTTCCAGGGGTTTTTTTCCAGGGGTTTTTTCCGAAGGTTTTTTTCCGGGATTCGTTTTATTATCATTATCATTATACTCTCGATTATTATTATCATTTTGATTTAATCGTTTATTATTGTCATTATGTTTAGTCGTCCCTTTGATTTTATAAACAATTTCCATAGTATTATTTATTTCTAAATCTGCCCATTCCATCGCTAAAGCCATTTCTATAACTTTGTTTAAGCTTAACGATTGGTCTTCGTCTCTAGTATTTAGGTATCTTAGTAGTTTTTTATCTAGTTGTGACATCTTTAGTCCGGCGATTAATTGATCGTGAATTCTTAGTTCTACATTATCTTCAAATTCGCATCTTCGGGTTAGCTCCTTTATAGTTTTTAAATAACTCAGTACGGATTCTGTAGGTCCGCTACTTAATCTAATGAAATTAATTCTAGATGCCAGAACAGTTCTTTCGTCTTTATAAAGTTGTTTTGCAATTTTGTATAGATCTGCCCATACTACATCATCAATATTTCTTGGAAATAGTAATTTTTATATCAGTTATAATATTTATTCCTCCATGCTATGAATAATTTTTTCAAAGTGGCGTCAGTTTGAGGAATATTTTTAACATTCAGCATATATTTGATGTACATAGTCGTCAAGAATACATTCATCTTTTTTGAATTCCTTTAATGTAATTTTATCCATAATTTCTAAACAAATCTATTATTTATTTTTTTTAAACAAAAAAAGTATGCAATTCAATTTAATATTTAACTAGACCAAAGACCGCATCTTTTTTTTACCTCGTCGCCAATATTTTATAGTCAAAACAATTGGTATCTTTATTTATAAATTTTTTTCTATATATAGTATTTTATAATTATGTAGTTATTTAATTTCTAATACTATGCAATTAGATTGAGCACAATAATATAATATTAAATGTAGGAAAGTTATAATATTGTATGACAAATATAATATTCAAATAGCGTTAAATATAACATTTTAAAATATATAAGATATTAAAATATAATAAGCCATATCATATTTATATTCTTATCAGATATGCTGTCCCCAAACCAATTAGGGCTTGATATTAAAAGAGGGTGAGAAACATCTAGCCACGCGGCAAGAATTACTTTGGATAATCTTGCTTCAGAACACGCATTTATTAGACTTGATCAAAAATTCCTTCAATATTTCAAATCTTAATTTTTAAATCCAATCTTTTTAAAAGTTTAACCAGATTATTTTAGCCAGTACTCCTATCGTAATACGATATGGTAAAAAAAACTGTTCAAGGAATACAGCAAGGTGGTACACTCAGTTTGCTTTTATTCTGCCTACCCATATACAGCATAATCAAAATATAAATTCTAATTTTAATCTCAACCTCTATGTGTGGGTATTAGACATGCCATATTATCACAGGTTCTATCAGTGAAATAATTGAAGCTGTGAATATTTTAAATTTTTAACAACTAAATTTATTCTTGAATTATATAAAATATACTCAACTACTAATTTTTTGCACCAATTATTGATCTTTTTACCCCTGTGATTAAAGATGAAATCTTCGTTCTCAAGTCACCAATAGGAGGATCTACATGAATTCAAACATTCTTACAAAAATATGAATAATATATATAGTCAAGAGTAAAATATTCTCAAGCATTTACCTACTAATGCAAAATCGTCACCTGAGCCTATTTTTTAAAATGACTATTTCAATATTTTCTCTGAAAAATATTGCCGAAGCCTCAAGATTTGGCTAATAGATGTCCAAACTTTAGTACCATATATGAGCGAAATCTTCAGACTTGCGTAATATTTTCCTGGATAAAATATTGAGTTAGTCATTTCAAAAATCGGCTCAAATGGAATGATTTTGCATCATTACATTTACCCCCATCAGACGTTTTATTTAATTTTAATATTCTAAAAATTCAGTTTTGCTCAGATCATCAGGCGCTTATTTATTTTCTTCTATACTTCAAATATATTAAAGAATATAGTCAACCTAAAATTTGACCTACATAGTTCTGGCGGACTTGCTTACGATCATCATTACCCTTGTCAATAGTTTCTTTTATTTCCTCTATTAAAAAACAAAAATCTCATTCTTAAATTAAATCTTTTGAGGGTTGCTTTGTTAAACTAATCTGCTACCATCTTTTGGCTCAATTGGTCAACTCTAATTTACAAAAGGATTGGGATTCTGTTGTCATGTCGCTCTCCATCAATTATCTACTTTTGAGCAATGATACAGAGAAATATTAAGCTTCGTTCATTGATAATGAATATATCAGGCCACGAATGGTTAGAAAACTTATCCAATTATATTAAATAAATATCTTGACAAATAAGGTATTTCGATATGCTTCTATCGGCATAGGCTTTAACATATCTCTACCTTATAAATGTATAAAATGTTGGGTTATGGTCGATTTTAAAGCGAGACATCCATTCCATTGTCTCGTTAACAGATATAAATATGTAAGGTACGATAGAATGAATGAAATATCTACTATTCAAAGATGATGTCACTTCACATCTCGAACCACGAGATATACTTCCATCATTATTTGGCCGTCACCAGAGGAAGCTTACTATTTTTAACTTCTTTTTTTTTAAATATTTTTAATATGGATTTTAAATTTTATTTCTATATATGTTATTTTATGCATATTTTACATGCTATTTGTAATTACATTATATAATATAATTATTAAATTAATAAAACACTAATATATTAAGTAATAAAAATTAAATTGTGATTTTTATATTATTTTTTGTAACGTTACCGGAATAAGGGCTCCCGTTCCTTTTGGATTTCATAATTTTGCACCCGTTCTATGGCCCTAATTCTTTTTATTTCATTCTTCTTAATTTCTAATAATGTTACTTTTTCAGTATCAAATTTCACTCGATTATCATCAACCCAGACAAACATTTAAATAAGTTGGATAATCTGTAAATCCTAACGGGCCAGGCTTTGCACGATGATCACAATATAAAGAAAGAGGATGGCTCCAATCTCATTTTTGGTTTGAATATCAACTGTAAAACAAAATATCAATATTATAAAATTGAAAATTTATATTCTTTTGCAAATAATAAATACTTTTTTTTAAATTTTTGTGCGAATTTAGTATTTGTATTATATATTTGTTCAACAAATACTTTTTTTGAAGTGTATTTGTATTTATATTCGAATACACATTTCTTGATATTTGCCCAGTTCTGATTATAGATTGTTGTTCCATGACTATTACCATTCACATCATTTTCCTTTTTATAATATTTATTTTAAAAAATTATTTTCAAAGAAGGGTGAAATGCACAACTTGAGGAAATTGAATACTATACCAAGCGCGTAACCAATGGGGGGGGGGGGAATCCTCCCGCCTCCCCCATCACAAATTCATTTTAAGCTAATGCATGTTTGCCTATTACAAAATGTACGAATGAAAGGATTTTTTCCAACTTGTGAAGATTGAAAACTATTTACGAAGTACTGAATCTCGGCTAAATGGGTTAGCTCTGTTAAATATCCACAGAGATTTGGTTCCAACGACAAACAAAATTCTTGATGAATTGGCAACATTCCCACGAAAATTATAAATCACATTATAATTATAGAAAATATTTTGTATAATATTGTATTTGATAAGAAGTTAGAAAAAACTTGTTAATTTAATTATTTTCTAGTCAATATTTTATACACACTACTATCAGTATTTTCAATAAAAAAATTATATTCTACTTATATTGTATGAAAATTTAAGCTGAGGCTAGTTTTAAAAGCAAATTTTATAAAAAAAATGACATTACACTTTATTTCAACTTTACATTTAAAAAAACTTTATTAAATATAATATACCTAACTTGAAATAATAAAAAATAGGCTTGTAATATCCATAAGCAAGAATTAGTAAATAATAGTTAAAAATAGAAATATAATTATTATTAAATTATGAATAATTTAATAGAATAGCTATAAGACCCAGCCGAAGGCCGGGGGAAAGCTGTAAAAGGGGTTTAAGGGCGAAGCCACCCCCAAAAAATTCCCCACCCCCTATAAGTAAATTCTGGATACGCCACTGTACTATACCAAGCTAATTTGCACTCATTTTCGGGATGTCAGCATAATAAGCTATCCAAGCAAGAGTTATAAATAAGGTAAGAAAAATAAAGCTAACTTAATGATTTGAAACACGATATCCATGCAATATTTAGTGCTTAATTATTCTATAAATTGTGAACCATTCACATGATATCTCTCCTCTTGTGGCTACTTATCCATAATCCCGTTTTTTTTATAAATATTTTTTTTAAATTAAATTATGCATTTTCCTTTTTGCCTTATAACATTTCCATTTCTTAACACGAAATTTTTTTTAAAATTTGAGAATTAAGACTCTAAATTGATTTAAATATGTATTTTATATATCTTTTGGAAAATTTCCTGGTTCTTTTCCAAAAATCCGATTTTTTATCCAAAATTTATAAAAAAGAAAAAACCTCTATTTTACCATGTTCCTTAAAGTCTTCTGAAATAAAATTCATTTGAAGTTCATAAACACGCAATAATGATTTACATAATATCACTTTGGGGTTCAGCTTTTATGGGCAAAACGATGAAAATGTTCAGTTTAATTAAAACTGCTAAAAGATAATTTTTAAATATTAATGTCTAAAACATAAAAAGATATTTCTGAGCAAAGGGTAACATTAATCAATACTTTGTGTTATATGGAATAAAAATTATAGTCGCAAAGGTGGTTGAAATGTATGATGTGCCTAAAATGGGCACTCTCAAAATGTGTTATTTTGTTTTGATAAATTCTTTAGATTCTATTATTGTATTTATTACTTTATAATTTTTTGATAATTTCGTTACATTTTAATATTTTATTTATTACTTTATAATTAAAAGTAAGAAATAAATGTCTAATTTGCTATATTTTGTTCAATAAAACAATGAAATTCTATTCTAATTAATTTTAACCACTTTACCCTGGTACTTAGCCATTTTACCCTGGGTACGGGATAAAATAACATGTCTCACATAATTAATTATAGCTTCTAAAATATTATAGGTAGAGAGTTACACTTTTATTTTATAGGTTAGGAATTAAGCTAGATATAAATTTATAATTTGTTCTGCTTAGCCTGCTTTTTAAATTTTTATGGTAAAAATGCAAAATACCGATCGTTTTCCCCAGTCTTCTCTACATTTTAATTAATATTAAAATTTAAGCATTGTGATCGAAAAAGTTTGATTATTTCCTCTAACATAATGAATAAGCCTTTTTAAAAAAACTTTCTATATTCACTGACGTTGTTAGGAATTAAGAAGATCTCAACCCCTTGGATGGTGGGCTATTTACTCCAAAATTTATGATTCTTTTTTATCTTTTCATAATATATTATAAATTTTTAAAAGAGTCTCCTCTTTCCACAAGATGATCAACACCACTTATATTATAATGCATATACATTCATTACTGTTTTTCTTGGTTATATCATTCCATGTCTGCCAAGATTTTTTATTTTTATGGGAGAATCTATTTTTTTTTTATTTTTAACGAATAGATTATAAATTTTATGACCTTGAGAAACATCTTGATTGACCAAAACAATTCCAAGTAATGATGTTAACAAACAAAGATTAATATAAATAACCCTGGTCTATTTTAAAAAATATTTTAAAACATGATAAAGATTTATGGGAGAGTGTTTAAATAGTTTTGTTTTTCAAAACGTACAATAAAATCGATATTATTTAGGTCCTCAGAAGAAGAAAAAAATCGAAAAAAATCTTGCTATGTTTTGGATATTTATGGTAACTAAATGATTAATATTTTAATGTCATATACAACAAAACAAAACATAAATAGTATTGATTTTTTTGGTTACATATAAATTTGCTTTTGAATTTTTTTTCCTACATATATATAAAGTGATAAGAGACATTTTTCTAGTAATTATTTAATTCCATAATATCTTTAATTCAATTTAATTAAACACTATCTATTGGAATTTTCTATTCATTGAAGATTTCCATAAAAAAATGATAACCAACATTAATCATTAGCAATTTTTTTTATAAGGAAAAATGATAGCATGGCAATACTAGCTCTAGTCATTCATGCGTGCAAAAAA